TTTATAGTGCATTGATCTTATTCCTGAATTGATGGATTAATCTATTTTCTGAATTGATGGATTAATCTATTTTCTGAATTGGGGCAAATACCATACCATAGGATGTTATTTTTACTAATATGAGACACATTTACAAATGTACATGTACATAGATATACACGTAGTTTGTGGTAGTTTATAAAGCGTACTACCGGTAAGCTTGCTTAAAGCAGCTGTAACTAAATGCTAAGCTACGCTTGGATTATACTGTAAGGCATCACTCAAAATTCAATATCGATGATATCTGAGAAAAACGAACTGCCCCAATAGTTACCCAAAGAGAGATGTCTAACTTCGACATTTTTAGATATTATTAGACGATATTATCGATGATATCTGAGAAAAACAAACTGCCCCAATAGTTACCCTAAAAGAGATGTCTAACTTCAACATTTTTAGAAGATAATATCAGATTAATTTTAAAAAAGGCAATATCGAACCTTCTTCTGAAAACAAGTACAACAGCAGGTGACATTATTTGTGAAATAAAAAGAAAACAATTATCTACCTACAAATCATGTGACCTGGGATGATGAATATTCTTGTCTTAAGTTCTAATGCATCCAGTGAATAGCGCTTGAGTATACAAATGCATCATGACCTTTTGACCTAGATTTGACTGGGATGTAATTTATTTTTTAGCACAAGGAATGAATTGAACCAAAGGTACAATACTTGGGATTTGCAAGTAGCATGACATGATGCCAAGATCCCATTTTAATCTCGCTCTCGCATAAGCGTTCCCAACTCAGAACAATGTGAATGCGCATGCCCAAGGTAACTAGGATACTGTGAGGTCCAGGTGGATCAAAATAGCTGCTCACAATATGACGGATTACGAGAACTATATTTTCTGTACATTTTCGATGTACATACATGTATTACATATTTTGATTATGATACTGGTAAGACATGTTTTGTTGTTTTATTACAAACCTTGAACATTGGTACATGTATATGTCATGTCAGAAGGTCTCGCTATCTACGAGATGATACTTGAATGGGATTTGACATGATGTCACCATACGTACTATGCACGTTGCAAACCCCATGGAGATATAAACAGACCTCCATGCAAACCCCAAATAATGTACCTCTGATCATGGAGGTATAAACATGTTTATACCTCCATATCGGTACTCTGAATGAACTAACAAGATACATGTAGTCGTGTTTTTTTGTCTGAGTACATGCAATCAAGGCCATTAATTTTTGGTAGACAGGTTGCAATGGAACTGCCTTCATCATATTGCTTTTGTTTGTTTTATATAATAAATATTGGTTTGCATTTGCATGCAAACATGTATCAAAGTTCTTTAGTTGCTTGCCTTATCACAAGGCTAACATGTCTTAACACATACATATAGTTAGCATAGTCATAACACAGTAAAGCATTAGGCAACCAAGTTTTTAACTGTACTGTCTGTTCTTTTCTAAATTTTCTTTTCCGAAAATTGTCCCTTAGTACATGCATCAACATTATTTATGATGTTCGGGAAAAAGTTGTTTTCATATTACAAACCGTATTGGACTGCATTAGTGCCCAGTGTTCTCAACTCGAAAAATCATGATTTTTGAGGGGTGGGCGCTTACCCAAGCACCCCTTCAGAAAAGAGTGCACATGACAACTTCAATTCATCATTTGACAGAGTGAGGGGGATATTACGTCTTTGAGAGAAAACAAATTTACAAAATTAGTTCCTTCGTCATTGACTTTTATAATGAAGAAACAGAAATAATCACAAACGATATGCACATTTTATTACAATATTAAGGTAGCGGGACTATTATTTGCATACTTGTTTTCATCTTCTAATTGTGACCAAATGACTACAAATAGACCCAGGAAAGTATATATTTTTAGAATTGCCAGACTTCAAACTTTACAAAGGTGTGTTTGCCATGCATGTATCTGCATTCTATGACCCGTTACTTAATCAAAGGTGAAAAATTACTTTTTCTGTAAAAAAAATAATTACGCATCTATGCTGGCGATAAGAAGTATTTTTTTCACTTTTTCTAGTTGTTCAATAGTCTGGTAAATTGAATGTGTCTGGTCAGTTT